TGCTAGAATAATGGGTGGGTGATTGCTGTATCAGTCCACTGATTGGATTGGCACCACCCTTATCCCAGTAGACTACATATAAGGGACAGAAAGAGGCTTGTTGCTTGTTGGGTATTTTGTCTCAGCAGTAACAGAAATAACTAATACATTCAGATAGCCATAACAACCTTATGTAGAAGGTAAATACAGTGGTACCTCATTTCACCAACTTAGTTCTGTAACCAGAATCATGGAATGAATACTGTGACCAAAATGACAAGAATTAAATTCATGAACTATGATATCACTGTATTTGAATCAATTTAGGAAATCAAGGCAGCCAGCATAGTACAAGAACACAAAAAATGACTTCCAGAACTACTTCATAATATAGCAAGAATGATGTGTATTCAAAACAAAGGGGAGCATTTTATTATATCCTGAGCATATGTAAACCTGTGTCTTTTTTTATGATAAGGCTAAGGAATGGGTTCATATAAAGTTTACCAGTAACTTTCATCTAATGATTTTAGCATTAGATATCTGCCTGGTTCAGATACTCTTTTTTAGGACTGGCAAAGTTGTAATATTTTTAGTTACCATCTGTCTTTATATACTATTATTTTTCTCATGAACTAGCTCATTACTCTGAGGTACAGTTCATACAGGAAAGGCAGGGCACTTATTTAATAGTGCTCCCTTATGGATCAGTTTTCAGAATAATGAGCTTGTTCTTAAAGCCTCCAAGAAAGACAGGTGACCAGTGAGGCTTATTTTTATGTTTATGAGCATGTAGGTTCTGAAACTTATTGGATATGTTTTACATTATTGCAGTTATTCTTTTTGTTGCTATGCAAATTGTCCCATCTTTGCCCAATAGAAGTTAATTTTAGTTGGCACTTGAGAACTTTTTGGCTATTTTTCTTTTTTCTTTCTTTTTTTTTTTTTTTTTTTTGTGTGTGTGTGTGTGTGTGTGTGTGTGTAACAGATGAATAGACAGACAAGGTTTCACTGTATAGTCCAGGCTTGCCTTGAACTAGCTAACTAGCTGTTTAGCTCAGGATGATCTTAAACTCATGATCCTCCTACCTTGGCCTGTTAAATGCAATTACAAGCATGTGCCCACCACATTGCTTTTGAGGCTTTTTTTTTTTTTCCAAGAGTTTGATATTCTTGTATAGCTTTCTTCCTATCTAGTATGAGAGAGGTTCCATGTTCATCTTATGGATTTCCTATTCTGGGCCAAGAAAGCAACATTTTTCCTGGAAGCCCAGGTTCCTTTTAGGGTAAATAGTATTTTAAGACAGTAATTCAAGAAATACACATTAACACATGTTAACCAGTGCTTTTAGCTAGACCTTTTTATGTAGACCTAGGACATATGCTTTTGTTTGTATGTTTAAATGATAATGTATCTAAAGCCATATTGCATATTATATTATAAATTTATACTATTTTCCTTTCTCTTTTATCTGTCTAATTTAGGCTGAGTATCACAGTTCTCATAAACAACAGACATATAGATTATCATATAATTGCTCATTTGTTGTATCCACAGTGTAAACACAGCAGTCTGAAGATAAATATGTTAACATTCCCACCAGTGATTAGGACCACTATGAACAGCTCCCACACACACACACATACACAATCTTTTTATCCCTCTGTTTTAAAGCCATTTGAATACAGTGGGCCCTTGACTTAGAAACTTAATTCATTTCTGAGGGCTGGTTGTAACTAAAGTTGTAAATGGCATCTCTACACAGCCTTTGAAGTCTTTCTCCTGTACATAGGCAGACCTCAGTGTCTTTAGAAAGTCACTGGCCCAGGATTTCTCAGCCCCATATAGGAAAAAAATATACTGTTCATTCCAGAACTCGTTAAGAGTTAAATCTGTGTCTAAGACCATCTGGAAGCACACATGGCCAGCATTTGGGTCTTAACTCAAGACTTTGGTTGTAAGTTAAAACTGAATTTCCATTCATAAACCAACTTGTTCATATGTCAAGCCAGTCATTACTTAAAGGTCTACAATAGTATTTCCTCTCTGCATATTCAGGTCAATTATTATTATTACTGATGTTTAAGTTATCCTCTCTTCCGCTAATAGTCTATTCAACTTGGCTTCTCAGTTGTTGTTGTTGTTTAAATACAATCCCAGCAGTCTTTGATGATTCTTTTCTTCTTAGTATAACAACCTGTGTTCCAGGTTATTCTTGCATATTTCCTGGACTGGAACTGGAACCAGCCATCCCAAAATCTCTCTTCTTTTAGTGAAAAATGGTATTTAGAGATAATCTAAGCACTGAGGGTTTGATTTCAACTCAGTTGGACATTGTTTCTGGACCTTTCTGTTCATTGGGAGGATGTATTTTTCTTTTTAGGAAAATAAGCAGCATTCATTCAACTTTACTAGTTGCAGTTCAAATTTTATATTAGATTTACATTGCTATGGCACTTTGAACTATGCATTTGCCTTTTTGCCTCTTATGCAGAAAGTCTTGATTCATGATAGCAGTTATTTCTTATTTTCACCTCTATAAGCATAAATGAAGTAACATAAATATAATTTCTGAATAGCAGCCATTATCTGGGTGGGTGTTGTTTGTTTTAGTACTGGGGATTGAACTCAGGACCTTGTGTTTGCCAAGCAGGCACTTAAGCTGCTGAGCTATCTCCCCAGCCCACAATTACCTGTTTTAACAATATGATTATTGAAAAGCTTTAAGTTTTAGGCTTTTTAGGTGCTCTGAGAATATATCCCACTAGATATCAAATTATTTAGTTGTAAAGTCATTGAAATAGTTCCTTTGTGTGACCAAGCCATCAACTTGAAACACAAGTTTGTTTCATTTTGCTTTTGATTTTTATATATTATTTTTTCCATTTGAATTTTGTTGTATAATTGTATACAACATTTTCATAGTTACAGAGTAAATCTTTCATGAAAAAAAAAAGCCTCGTTGTCTTTTCCATTGTTTTCTTCTGACCCATGTACATAGCCATTTTGGGTAACCATTTTTACCATTAGGAAGTTGTGTATGTATGTGTATTGTACTTCCTCTATTATATACAAAACTGCACAGTAATTTGCCTATATTTTTTATATATCAGTATGTCCTGCAGATCACTCTATAGACGTAGGGATTCTCTATTCTTTTTTCCACATTTATGGCATACTCCACTTTTATAATAGGACTTTTTTTTTGACAAATCAGATTCCTAATAACAAAGTAAGAATCACTTTCAAGTTTAATTATAATCTTTCATACATCTGTGATCCAAGGCATTTTAGTTGCTCCAAACTGACTTAAAAGTCTCAGTGCAAGTATTTTAAGTATACGGGTTCCATGGGCCTAATTGTTGAACCAGCTTCTCTCTATGTACTTTCCTTTAGTGAAACCACTTACATCCATTGCTACACTGATGATTTATATAACTAGATAAACTGAAGCCCAGACATATAAACTGTTTTACATCTCTACTTTGGATATCTCACAGACATCTTGTCATAAAAAGAGAACATTTTGCTTTTCTGAAAAAAATCATGCTCTCTTCACTCCCCATCCCCAAACTCTTCCACAGGTACCTATTTTCCCCGAGCTAGCTTTGATCCATGCATTTTCTTCTTTTTCACATCAGCTAATCCTGGCAATTTTTAACACCAGAGTTAATGTTTAGGGTGGTGTGTTTCCTATCTCTTCATCATAATCCAGGCAGCCCTTCACTGTGACATGGATCACTGCCATCAGTCTTCCTATGTACATTCATATCACATTCCTCCTCAAAACCCATAGGTGTCTTTTTATCATATGAGGTCCTCCATAACCTAGCCACAAGCCTCCACCACTCCAGTCGTCTTTAAGTCTTAGATATACCTGGGCCATTTCCCTCCTTTTGATTTTGCACTGCTGTTCTCTCTGCCTAAAAGTGTTTTCTTCTGTTTTATTCATGATAACCGTCTTATTTCCCTTTAGTTTTTAGCTTAACTGTCACTTGCTTGTATCTTTCCAATCATTCTAAAGTAGATATTTTTAAATCCTTTGTACTTGGTTTTATAATAATACAACTTATAAATTTTTTATGTTCATTTGTCTTTTATCTGTCTCCCTCACCATTGGGAAACAGCTCCCTCTCTTAATCATTATTATATCTACCAGTTCTGAAATATAATAATCACTTTATTAAGAACCCAGTAAACATTTTTAGAATATATAAAAATATAGTGAAATCAAACACTTGGAATTTTTAAAAAAGCTTACCTACTGAGTTAGAGCCCATTACTTAGGTATTTCCTACATCATTTCCAAAGGACTAGAACTAGTAAAAAATGTAAAGAATACTAGCACAAAAATGTAACTAAAGTATATGGTTGTGTGTTCTAGTGGTAGGTAAGGAGCTTATAGTTTTCAAAACATACATTTAAGGATTTGTTTACTGGTAGGTGGCAAGTTCGGTTTGAGCTTAATAGCCACTACAACTTTGGTCTCATGATTAATATAGACCATAAAATAGCAATCTTTGATATTTGAGGCCTGCTTGTTATCCCAGCACTCAGGAGGCTGATGCAGGAAAATCCTAAATTTGAGTTCTGCTTTGGCAGCTTGGAAGACCCTCTCTCACAATTAAGAAATAGGAAGAAAGGCTGGCAATATAACTCATTGTGAAGGCTCTGGGTCCAATACCCAATACCATTTTAAAAAAACATCTTTCCAAAAAAGATATAACTGAGCTGAAGACCAGTCACTTGCTACAATTATTTTAATACCCTAGGTTTACCCAAAGATTATAGCCAGTCTTTCAAATAAGAATCTTATCCTAATGTTAACAGAAGATACAAAATGCTCATAAATGCAAACACAAATGTACATGGGTATGCACAGATAGTAATGTCCTTTGTAACACTGTATGTTAGGCTTTAAAGATTAGTATCACAAACAAATATCCAATTTACTTGTTTCTTTGAGCAAGTAAATGTATATTACCATTCAAATATTTTTTTTCTTTTAAAACTTTAACAGGATTCTGACTTGAAGAAAACAGTGGATGAAAGTGCACGGATTCAGAGAGCATACAACCACTATTTTGATTTGATCATCATAAACGACAATCTAGACAAAGCCTTTGAGAAACTACAAACTGCCATAGAGAAACTGAGGATGGAACCACAGTGGGTCCCCATCAGCTGGGTTTACTGATGATTCAATAAGGTTAACAAAACTTTTCAAAAGCAACTCAATAAATCTTCTACTGAGAAAATACATGCACAGATAGAAGATACCTGCCAAGTCCAGGCATTTTTATTGTGTAGATTAAAATAACAGTACACTATTCTAAATTTTTATATAAAATATGGTTGAGAAGGTATATATAATTTATCTTAATTTTTCTAACTTTTTATGAATAATCTTTCTATTCATACCACATAAAGAAATGCGTTGAAGCATTTTGTATATGTTTTGATTTGGTACTCTTGCCTTTTTCATCAAAAGAATTTTCAAATCATTCACTTTAACATGATCTCACATTTTCACTGTGATACTGAATACTTGAAATAGTTTTATAAAGCTGTCATTTAGTTCAGTATTTAGTGATGGGTCAGTTACTCTTATTAGAAGAAAACAGTAGTATTGGCCTTCCTTCTTAATCGAATTTCTTACAGAAGCAGAATTTTAATGTCAGTGCTACAAGTGTACTACCATCTAAACCTGACATCAAAAATCTGTTGAGTGCCACTTTTTTCCTTTCAGAGATGTATGGCTATCCATTCTAGTTTACGCAGATAATTATTTTTCCCTTTGTTTCTATCTTTAGTGGAAAAAAAAAAAAAGAGCAATACCTCGCACTCTCTTTTGAAGTTATTCTTTTTGTTTCTTGCAGTGAAATGTGGTTGCTAATTTGACATGTACACATTAAGGTCAGGCTGGAAGCAAGGTCATGCAGACTGAGAGAGTGCCTTATTCTGTAAAAACCTTACATGAAGTGACTCTTGAAGAAAGTTTTATTTTCACATGTAAAAATTTGAAACTAACAATGTAGAGATTTTTTTTAAGGATATGGTCAGCAAAAGTATCATGCCTCTGCAAATTTGTCTTGTTAGAGATGCCTTTAAGTTTACAGTTGGAGTTTTTGTGAATGATTGATATGCTTTTTGAACAGTGATGTAATTGTTAGGGTATGTGTTCTATTTGTTGTGATGAAAACCAAATCATTTGAACAAAATTTGGAAATGATTGTCACCTGTTTTATATACACATATGCATTATATAATATGTATATCATCTGTATACAATAATGTTTTGTATATTTTAGATTTCTGTTAAGAAATGTATCTTCTGTTTAATAGTGGGGAGTCCTCCTTTAGATGCATTGATGTAATATACAAATTCCCTATTTATCTATCTTGCTTTTGGATTTTTGGATAATATAAATTCTTCCTAAAACATCTTCAGAGGTGCAACTTATCACTTAACTAAGTTGATCATATTATATGTTGCTGCTAGCTTTTCATGTACAGAATATTTGCATTTTAAAGGGTTAAGTACTTAAATATTGATGATGAACTTTGTTTGGTGCAAGCATAAGACACCTGGCTGCTGAATTTGTTTTTCCCGTCACCAGAGCTATCACATACAATGCCAGCTTGGAAGTCTCTCAGAGAAGAAAAAAATATATGACAGTAAGCAGTATTTATACATTGTTTTACTTTTTTTTTTTTTTTTTTTTTAGAGACAGGGTCTTGCTATGCAGTTCAGGCTAGCCATGAGCTCATTTTTGTAGCCTGGGCTGGTCTTGAACTCACAACAGTCCTCTTGCTTCAGCCTCCCAAGTGCTGTTACACATTGTTTTAAATCATTTCCAAGGAAAAGTATTGAATTGTTAAAATCTGATGTCTATAGGTCTTTATGTTTTTATTTCTAGAATTTCAAAAGGACCCCACATTGTTTTTCCTTGTCATAGGACAATAAATTGTTAGCAAAATGAATCATACTTTCAATAACTTTGGAAAATTTGAGATCAATATATTTACTCAAAATTCTTGGCTTCTACAACAATGTGAATCAAAGCACAGAATCAGTGCGATGAAGTGACTTAACATTTCAACACATTTTAAGTTTTTTAAAATAGCTTTGAGATAATTATAGCAGCAGTTTATCTACAGACTATTTTTACCATCTTGGTACAATAGAGGTGACTTTCACATATAATTTTAGCCTCATCATGTTATATAACAATGCATATTATCTGAAATATAGTCTATACTTAATATTCACAGATGACTAATTAATGCAGATTAGATTCCTTATAAAATGAAATACAGCAGTTCAGTTCAGTGTAGATGTAAATGCTGAAGAAAATAAATTTAGAAAAGTCTAGTGTATATCAATGAAGAGTCACTGAACTTGAAATCCAAGTTTCATCTGAGTCTGCAGGAACCAGCAGTGTTCTACTGAGGCCCAGAGGCCCCACCCAGGATTTTTCTTGAGTAATATGACAAGGAAATGTATACTTCTCTTGTGGCAAAAACCTAAGATAGTAGACTTATTTATAATAGCTTTACTGAAAAGAAAATAGTTTACAGTGATATCAAATGATTGGTAATAAGTAAAATATACACACACAGACATGTGTTCTTGTGAAACAAAATGAAACAAATACAAGAGTTCCTTGTGGACAGATAAGTGTTCACATCCAGCATTCAGGGCATGGCTATACAACTAAAGATTATGTTTTTCATGTTCAGTGTACCAATACCAATAGCGGTAATGGCCCTATCTGTAACTAGTAAAATTTGAGGCTCTGCAAGTAGAATGTTTATCCTCATTACAGCTGTGCTTTTATATATGCAATCTCCATTTGTTTCATATTTAGATAATACTAAATGTCATATAACATCAGGACTATCTTAACCAATTCTATACAATTGCTGACCATAACTTTCTAAAATGTAAGTCTTATCAGAAACCCAATATGACTAGAGTGATAACCTAAACCATAGATTCTATAATCTAGTAAATTCACTTATAAAAGCCTTTAAGTTTTCTTTAAAATACCAAGTTATTAAAATATATTTAGAAAATAACCCAAATTAATAAAACTCAATTGTATGGCAGATCATCACCAATTACTGTTTTGACCATGATATCCCAAAGATAATAAAAAGTACTTTATTTTAAAATTCATTAAAATGGTACTTATTTTTATTCTAACTCAAGTGTTAATATCCAGTGATTGGTGTTAATTTTCAAGGGGGGTAGCCAGAGTTACAGTTATTTTGAATTGACAAACTCAAAAGACAAGTTATGAAAGTGTTCAAAAATAATCTTAACATTTTACTTTCATGACTTCTGAAATAATTTTCCATCAAATCACAGGCTAGACAGCCAATAATTTTCTAGTGATCTTTATACTAAATGTGGAAAAGGCAATCGTAAAGTTTAATGTACATAAATAGTTCATTTTTAAAATGTGGAGTTGCTATATATATATGTATATAAATATACAGCTATGCGTATAATGTGTAATATGCTCCCAAATTACATGAATAAAATTATTCACCCATACTGTTCTGAAATTTTTAATCCAAGTTTCTAGACATTTTGAAATTTAAAAGGGCTTGGTTTTACCTTGAAGCTGATACTAACTTCCTTTTTAAAAAAATAAAAAATTAAACTCAGAAAATGATTTCTTATAACTTGATTTCCTTTTAAAAAAGCATTATGAATGGAAGTTATGAATGGAAGCCTCTTGGGAAATTCTTATTCAAACCTCAGAATGAATTTATAACATTTTAGGAGGCTGATAGATTATTGCAGATACCTGCCCTCTGATTTCAAGAGATTTGCTGTGAAGATTCATGTAATAACCATATATTTTATTTGGGTTCTAGGGATACACTGAGTATTTTAAATGGGATCATTATATATCATGCAAGTGACAACTGACAAACTTTTAAGAACACATTTGACTAAGATATGTTTTGTGTAAGTATATGTGATATAATTGAAGAAGATGACAAGTTTATCATCTTAAGGTATTTTTTAAATTGCATTTTTCTAGATTTTTAAATCAGGTTATATTATTTTTCAGAAAGCATTTATTTCCTTATGTTACCTTCTGTGTTCTGTAATGAATTGTGAAAAATACACAAACTCAAAAATCAGTCCTTAAAAAAGGGAGGGAATAGGACTGGCAAGATAGCTCAGGGGACTAAGAGCCTGCTTACGCTAGTGCACAGACTGGGGTTCGATCCCTGACACCACATGCTGCACTGGCCCTGCCCCTGAGCTGGCCACCAAGTCCAGGTGTGGTGGCACATGCCTGTAATCCAAGCGCTGGGAGCCTTGAAAACAGGAGGATCACTATTGAGTCCAATCTGTGTAGTTGAGACCCTGTACCAAATAAAAGGGGGGGGGTGGGTTGAATGATGGTTTTCATTTCTAAGATAAAAAGCATGATTTGCACCACTTTAGCAAAACACTTCCAATACTGGTGTAAAAATACTGTCATGATAAACTTAAAAATAGTGTACTGTTCTTGGCTACAATCCTAATTCTGACTTCTGACCATGTAATTTTGATAACATTTTTATTTTCTTTACCTTTACTCTTCCACTTGTTAAATATAACTTAGTATTTAACTTCACCTTAAATTGTAAGGAGTAATTTGTAACTGTGATGTGATATTTACTAGCTTTATCAATTAAATGTGTTTCCTTACATTGGGATTATCTTTTAGTTCCTTTAAAGTGCTCCTCATTCTGAGGTGATACAGTAGATGCTAAATGCCATCAGGAATCCTACTGCCAGTTTAGAACAGCCGCAAAGATATAATTCTATTCTGTTCTTGCAGTGGTCCTAGGCAGCAGGTTCCTTGCAGTTTAGTTCACCTTCCAAGCCCAAACTTACAATTGCATATCCTTGGTGGCAACCAGTTCACTGACAAATCAGTCAAAATTTAAGCAATCAGTTTAAGCAAACTGATCGTTGCCCCTAAAGCCACTTTACTTTATCTTTACACCTGAAATTTATCACTGCAACATTATTGTTGAATCTATAGTACTAAAAAGATATCTACTACTTTGTAGGAGAAAACATTCACAGGTAGATCTAGTTAATAACTTCAAATCCTGATAACGGTCACTACTGTCTCTAATATCGTCTTCACCATTTTCTGTTAATGTAGTGGGGTAATAAACCAGACTTACTTCCACATAGGTCAGAAATTAGTTTTTCATATCACCCTTCGTTCTCCAGCACAAACTAAATGAACACTGTGTAGGTAGACTAAATGCTGCTTAGAACTTGGAATTTAACCTATTTGCTACTTTAAAAACTGTGAGTCCCATAAAATAGGTATTATTGCTACCATAGAAGCCAGACAGTCTTATTAGTTGATGATGGCGATACAACCTAGCACATTTACATTGTGCTGTCTCCCCAGCTTTTTATTTTAAAAGTTGGAAACAGTAGTCTTTATTGCACGTCAGCTGACAGCAAGCCAAGGTAGCAATACAATACTATATATATATACATATATATATGTATGCACACAAATATTAGAAGCCATACCTAAAATTTGGCTTTCCTCATATCATAGTGATCTGAGAACTTAGCAGAAGCATAATGAACTACTTGAAAAGGAAAAAAACATAGCATTAAAAACTCACCTGCTAAGGGCTGGGAGGTATAGCTCAGTGGTAGTGTGGTTTGATTTCCCAGTACCCAAAAACAACTCTGAAAACATAAAGCTCACTCTGGTAAATACATCCCAAGCCTCTACCAGATCTGATGCATAGAACATCTGTCCTCTTTTAACATGTTTACAATGGGGCTGTAATTTGTATGACTCACTTTTTAGTGACTTGGACCACCTCTGGTCCATGTGTGACTCCCATCAGATAGTTGTTTATTCATTTTATTAGTATAAAGACTAATAAGAAAAAATAAAAACAAAAAAAAAAATGTGATTATATCCATTTGTACCAATAGTGGTATAAACCACCCGATGGGACAGACATGCAGATACCATTGGTGGTCAACCTGGCAGGAAGATGTCAAAAAGATCTGCACACTGACTCCTGTTTCTTCAGTAACCCTGATAAGTTTTGTTTTGTTTTTATAGTATCCTAATTTAGGATACTATAATGACCAGTGGGTTCCAAAACAAGTGCAATTTTCTGCATATTTTGTTGAACTCTGTTACAACTCATGAGGAGTAACAGATATGAAAACTTTGCCAGGAGTGTATTTTTTCAGTCTCCTCCTTCCAGTTCATTTTGGCATATCTTTCCTCTGGACACAAATGCATGCTTTTTTTAAACCTATAATCTTAGAAGTGATTATAAAAAAAAAGCAACATGCTTGTTGCAATATAAAAGCCAAAGCTGAACAAGCTATTTTAACTTTCTGATGAAAAGGTTTATTAAACTACTATTATGTTACTTTAATTATATTACAAGTTCCTATATAAAAGAATGTCTTAAATTTAAAAATCTTTATTATAATCTTCCTATAGTACATCATTTTCAGAAACTGTCCCTGTAAGTCTTTTCACATATTTCCATATGCTATCCAAAACAGGATTTGTAAGATTACATATTCCTAGTAAAATATTTTCATGTACAGATAAATGCTTAGTATTGGGAAAAATGTATTTTCATTTATAGGTAAAATGAAAGTTTAGTTATAAAGTTACAGAACATCAGTTTAGCTTTAATAACATATTTTAGGTGCTAAAAATCTTTGTTAAAAATCCTAATGTCATTTAATTTTTCTATTTAAATTATTTGTCCACTTCTATTTTTCAACAAGGAAACCACAACCATGTATTCCTCTATTCTAAGCAATTCAATGGCTTTCAAAGACTATACACTCAAAATACTTCAGAGTTAAGGAAGACTGAAATATAGGATCAAGATCACAGTGCCTCCCTGCTTAGCTGGCCAGGAAAGAGAGAAAGCCAGGTGACACAAGGAGCTGACCTGCTGTGGCACCCAGGCTGGCCCTCTGCAGTGAGGCGGCTGGTGGGCCCACATGTCTGGCCACAGAGCGGTGTGGCTGTGGATACAGGGGAAAGCGCTTCCCAGAGGAAGCTAGTCTCCAGTATTCCATACTTCATACTTCAGGAATTGTTCACAGTATACTTTTGATCTCTTCAGAAAATTTTAATAGGATAAAAATCTCTCTTTGCCTCTTGTCTTAACCTCCAAATCGATGAACCCAAAGGCACCTCTGCTAATTTTCTTATAAACTCTAAATATTTTTCATGCATATCAACATATAAGTACATTCATATTGCATATCCTTTTTTTAAAAAAAAAATCTTTATTTGGCACAGGGCCTCACTACATGTAGCTTGGATGCATAGTGGTCCTCCTGTCTCAGCCTCCCCAGTGCTGGGATTACAGACATGTGCCACCATGCCTGGTTTCGGTGGCAGGCACAGTGCACCCAGGGTTCCAGGGCCAACATGGCATGTGGTACCGGGGAACGAACCCAGGTCCTTGCACTTATCAGGCAGGCGCTTGAACTGCCAAACTATCGCCCCAGCCCTGCACATCCTTTTTTTTTTTTTTGATATTAATATCATTATTACTATGATAGTTTACTTGATCTATTATGATGCACATCCTTTTTGAAGCTAGTTTATATTTCAGAAAATCAGACAAAAAGGCTTGGCATTTTCTTTTTGCAATTTGTGTATAATTTTTGTGTACAGTGGCCACTGCAAGTTTTACATTCTTTCCCCACACACTCATACAAGTAATAAGCATTTGCATAACACTGACTTATTGTTAAAATATGTGATAAAAGTGTTACTATATTTCTTCCTTGTTAATAATTAAAAACTGAAAGGAAGAAACAGACTAAGCAGGTGATTCTAAGGTAAAACAACATGTTCTGAGTAACATGCTTCTCTCCATCCACTACTGTTCCTCATCCCCAGTGGCTTCAGGCCTGTTATGGATGGTAGATCCTGTCAGTGGATTCAGAAGCGCCAAGGAGACGGTCCAGGCCATTTATAATAGAATAACAAAACAAAAACTAAAATATATACAGTTGAATATTGTCTTTGATAAAAATGTAATTTTGGAAAATTTAAGCTACTAAAATGTGTAAGAAGAACACATCGTTCTAGACATAGAATGTATTTATCAAAGCATAGCAAAGTCAAATGATATAGCTAAACTTTTTTGGGGGGTGTTACTACTAAATTTTTAGTATAATTTATTTTGCAGAAGAATAGTCTGTAGTAGCACTTGTAGTTCATTTTTCATTCACCAGATATGCAGCAAGCATATCCAAAATGTAGATTCTGTGAAGAGACACTGCCTTGTTATGGCATTCACAATTTAAAATGAATTTTGGGTTAAAGTGTCAGGCACCTCTTTTTGTATAACAAAGTAGAAAATGTAAGAAAATGATAGATGGACCCATTATTCTGTAGAAAACAAATCTGAGTGTAAAACTGCTTAGAATCTCACCTTCCCCCCACCAGGATCTTCACATACTAGAATCTACCTTGGATATGAAGTGTTAACCATTTACCAGCAAAAGGCCCCTAATGAAAAGAAACCATGTAAAAAAGTACCTGCTGGCATTCATAGTGCAGAAAATCACCATTAAAATTACTTTATAACTCATTTCATTGATCAACTTTTAAGGTACATTAGACCTAAACCCCAAAATAATATTTTAATTCTGAGAAACACCCCACCTTGGCTAGTTACATATACTTCTGTTTGACAAGACGTTATTAATGCTCTCTGCCTAGAGCACAGAGTCCATTCAAAGTAATATAAAGAATTAGAGGGAAGATATGAGGGTCCTTCAGGATGACAGCTTTCACAGATGCTTGCTCTTGCTCAAGGTTAATGTCAGTCGCAACAAAGAGGCGCTGCACAATCCCAAACCTTTCTGTATCTCTCAGAGGGGCCAAAGTTGGGTCTTCAAGATCACATACTCCATCATCAGATAAAGCACGAAGCTGAAAAGACATATTTAAACAGACTTACTTTAAAATACGTATAAATATATATACAAATATATATATACATATACATATATATACAAATATATATATACAAATATATATATAAATATATATACAAATATATATATACATATATATATATATATATGTAAATAAATAAAATTTGGACAGCAATATACTTCTAAGTAACCAAGGGGAAAAAAAATCCTAACTTTTTAATTCTCCAACAAAACAGGAAAACATTGAAGATAAATGAGATATATTTAGTCCAGGGCATGACCTCAGGACATTGATTTTATCCAATGTACCTGAAATCCTCTTAACCAGTATTGTTTGTTAAGTTTTTGTTTTTAAATTGTGACACAGTTGTATACCTTTATGGGCTAACTATGGAAATTCAGAACATGTGTGCAGTTTGCCAGAACTGAAATAAGCATTTCCATTTCATCATAGTCATTTTGTGTGTAGGGAAATTCTGTAGTCTTCTAGTCATTTTGAAATATGAACTTTTAAAAATAGTTAAGCCTAGTGTATTAAAGAACAGTCTACAGTAAGCTTTTCATTCCATTCTAAGATTGACTTACTAGTTAGTTAGCACAGTGTATGGAACATATGGTATTTGCCTTTCTTTCACTTAATGACTCAATTCTGTGTTACTACAATGACAGGACTTAATTCTCTTGTTTGAATAATATTCCAATGCTTATATGCACACCTTACTCATCTACTGAAGGACATGAGGGCTGAATCCTGTGTTTCAGCTATTGTGCCAGAAGCTATGATTTTACCTCCTTTAGATATATACCTAGTAGCGGGACTGTTAGATCATGAAGGTAATTCTCTTTTCAGTGGTTTTAGGACTTTCTTTACTGTTTTCCATAAAGGTTATATCTACCAACAGTGTATAATAGTTTGCTTTTCTCTGCATTCTCTCCACCATTTGTTATTTTGGGTTTTTTTATGCTAGCCATTCTGAGGTCAGACACTAGGTCATTGTGGTTTTCATTTGCATTTCTCTGATGTGACATAGCATTTTTTTCATGTATTTGATAGTCATCTGTATCTGTTTAGTTGTTTAGCCCATTTTTCAAGTTCCTTGTATGTTCTAGATGCTAATCCCTTGTCAGAGAGTTTGTAAATATTCTCTATTTTTTATATTATCTTTTAATTCTGTTTTAATTAGTTCCCTTGCTGTGCAGAAGTTTCTTAGTTTGATATAATCCCATTTGTCTATTTTTACTTTTCTTATCTTTGCCTGGTCTATCTAAAAAATCATCACCTTCTCTACACTAACCTTAAATTGTTCCCCATTTTTTGTAATAATTTCAAAGTTACAGGGGTAACACAAAAGTCTTGATCTATTTTTAGTTAACTTTTGTGTGTTGAGCAGGGATTTAGTTTCATTCTTTTATATATTAACTATTTTTGCCTGCACCATTTTTTTTTTATGACACTGTCTTTTCCCCACTGTATGTTCTTGGTGCCTTTGAGTTTGGTGTGTCTGTATGAAAAGGGATTGATTTCTGAGCTTCCCATTCTGTGTGTTTGGTCTGTGTGTTTTTTGCCAGGCCTATGTTCAGAAGTCAGGTTTTATGATGCTTCCAGCTCTTTCTGATATGGTTTGTTTTTATCATTTTAGGTCATTTGTGGTTCTACATGAATTTTAAGATTGATTTCATATCTATGTGAAGAAAATCATTGACATCTTTTTTTTATTTTGAGACAAGATTTTGTCTGTGATATTCTGATAGTAATATTTTGAAAAAAAGTATTAGTGTATATTTGCAACACATAATGTTTAATATATTCATCTTGGGATATCGGTTCATATACTTAATGAATCTTGATCCTTTTTACATCTATATGTGTTGTACCATGTGTATCGATTTGTACATGCTAAACCTTCCTTGTCACGGGATGAATCCTATTTTAATTTTTTTATGTGCCACTAAATTCAGTATAATATTTATAGACAGTTTTTGCCTGTAAAAAGGGGTGTGGGTTTCTATTTTGTATTTTTTTCTTATATCTTTGCCTGATTTTTGTATCAAGGTAACACTGACTTTGGTGGCAAGAAAAAGAGTTTGGCAAAATGGCTTCTATTTTCCTTTTTGGAATAGTGGAAGAACAACTAAATTGGGAGGGTTTTGTTGTTGTTGTTTGTGGGGGGTTTTTTGGGTACTGGAAATTGACCTCATGATCTAGTACTTGCTAGGCAGGCTCTGTGCTGCTGAGCTATGTTCCTGGTTCCAAAGGAGACTTTCAATTACTGCTTTAACCTTATTACTCATTATTGGTCTGTTTAGACATTTTACTTTTGACTCAGTTTTGATCGATTATGGTCATAAGTTTATCTGCACTGAACAGCTTACCTTTTCCTATAGTGTTCAGTTCTCTGCCTGGACGGGGAACCTAGGCTAAAGTTGTGAATTACTTTGTTCTTTACTCTAGATTGTCTTGCTGACTTTCAGTGCTGTTTAGAGTTCCCATCATTACTTTGCTAATTTCCAGTGTCCTTCAGTTGTTCTCCTTGTAACACAGATCCCCTTTAGCATCTTGATTCTTCTCTGTGGTAATCACAGCAGGGCACCTCTATTTTGCTATCATCTGGTTTATTTAAATGATACCAGAATTTCTTACATATATGCAGGCACCCTTCAAAGGAAGGTATCAGTTATGCTTCCTGCTCCAAGAACATTTGCCTTAACTCTTTCTTCAGCCTGGAATACTTTCCTATCTAGATTTAGCAGTTACACAGTGCCTCATCAGAGAGCCTTTCTTAAGCCATTCTCTACCCATCCACCCCAATCCCATATCCCAGCCACTATGACATTATTTCACTATCTTACAAAGTTTACTGTATCTGAAATTTTCCCTAACCAGCCCCCATTTAGTCTATTTCCCCTGCCTATACACTGAACTGCTGTTGAGACAAGGACCTTGTCCAAGGTAGTCACCATGTAACCTGCCTAAAACAGATACTCAGTGTACTGCAAGAAAACTAGCTCTGCCTGGAGGCTGCTTTGAATATTGTTCTAAATCTCAAAATAGATTGGATTAGTTAAGTTGCTTTTAGGGTCTTGATGTATGTCTGGAACACATTTTTAAAGCATAAAATTTTATATGCCTACTTCATTTTTGTTTTAAATATGCATGAATGTAACTGAAGGGAATCCAAAAGAATTCTCAAAATATTTAAAATATGGGTCTTGTTCAGGAGACTGAAGAGCAGCACTCAGTGAAATGTTTGTGTGTTTATTATCAAAATCAGCCTTATGAATCTATACCTTGTGAATTCTGCAAACAAACTCTCATGGTAAACTATTGGCTCCATGTAGCCATTTGGCTCACAATAAACTATGCATTATGCTTTAGAGAGTAGATCAGACCTTTCAGAATGGGCTCCATGTCTTTGGTGGCTGGTGGACAAGAGCTTACCAGCATCTAGCTTCTTACTCTAAACATCTGTAACCCCTTTTTCCCCCTAGAAGAGTCTAAGTTTAAAGAGAATTACAGCAACCCTAAAGGTGGTGGGATAAAATTAACGTTTTCAGTTGATCCTAATTACCTTCTTACCAGTTCTTGGCAAATGTGTTATGCTGATACTGTTCTCCCAAAGATCTTCAGAAAACTCACCCAGTGTTACTTTTATCATAAGACAAGTTTTATGCCCTATAGGAAGCACATGATACTGAGTTTGCTTAGAAGACAGCAGGAGCCTGGCTGTCTTAAACCAAAAAAAAAAAAAAAAATCTGTGGGATATTTTGAAAGATTATATGAAGACATCCAGGAATTTTTGTTTTTGTTTTTTTAAAGTGACTTATGTTTCCTAAAAGGTAAACAAATGCCTCTGTAGGTAGGTAGTTTAGTGTAGAATGCTCTCCACGCTGGGACTCCCTAGTGTTTTCTACCAGCTACTTTGAGATTACCAGCAGAGAGAAACTTGAGGGTAACACAAAGGTAAGAAGCTGCAGTTAATGCTGAAGGAGGATGACAACCAAGCATGAATGTGTGGGGGGAAGAATTTGCTAACAATGGACTGGGCCGGATTTTCTTTTGCATATACTCCTAAAGCTCAGTCTGTAAGTTCTTGGGAAGGGCCAACTTGTAAGTGCTGATCTCTCAGTTACTGGAAAATGAGTCATTTTGCTCATCATTATACCAGTTAGGATCTAATGGTACAGTTTCTATTACCAAACTATGCCCCCAGCCTTTAACCTCATCTGGCCCAGTACACACATGCTGAGACATTTTCAAGTAGTTCTGTTTTCGCCATCAATGTATAAGAATGCACTGTTCTCTGGGCAAGTATAAGTCTAAACTATTCCTTGGAATAGTGCCATGCTGTGTAGTCTTCTTGTGTCTTTACTGCGCAAAGTCACTGGCTGCACTACTCACTGCTCCTGGAGTTACTGCCAGTAACTATTTCCAGAGACCAAGCTAATGGATGGTCTTTCTAAAAGGGGAAAGAAGCTGACAGTGTCTCCCTAAGACAGACCAGTCTGAATAATTCCTTTGAACCTGAATCTGATGCAGAGCTGAATCAATCAGTCTAGATCTGTTCTTGCAGCGCAGCACCAGTGTACCCATAGTCCTCTCCAGCAATGGGAAAACTGCAGTTTGGAGTTTTTAAAGATGGCAGTGTTGGCTCTGCTGGCCAGTTCACTAAATTTCTCTCCCTTTGTCCCTCAGTTTTCAAGAGTTGTGCAGTGTGTGTAAAAGTAGGGTTAATACGACAGCTGCTTAAAGCTATTCTAAAAAGCTGCTGTGGGTGAAAAAAATAGATGCAGGCAGCTGTTAAGGGCCTACCTCTCTTCATTTTCCCATTCCTGTCCATCCCAAGATCCCATCTGAAAGGTTTCTTACCATATGGTACAGTGTAGGAATAATCTGGAGTTTACAGCAAATGCCCAGGAGAGCTGCAGCATTATCTGGCATTTCTGCAGGGAAAAAAAGTCACAGTTACTATCAATGAAAGTTCACAGGGAACCCAAGCCCATGAATATTACCAAATTTATATTTCAGTAGCACTTAGTAATTGTTAAATACATGAATAGAGAGATGGGCAGGAAAAACCTTTTGAAAAATTTGTAGGAATCCAGTCAACAAAGGATATTCCTTGAGGGCCAGCCAAATAGCTCAGTGGATTAAAGCACCTGCAAGCAGGTGCAGGGGCCGGGGGTTTGATCCCCAGGCCTGCCGTGTCGGCCTTATCCCCAGGAGCACACTGAGACTGCAATTGAGACTGGGTGTGATGGCATATGCCTGTAATCCCAGCTCTTGGGAGGCTGTAAACAGGCGGGTTTGATCTAGTAGTGAGACCCTGAACACCCTGTAGACCCTTCCCTAAAATACAAAAAAAAAAAAAAAAAAAAAAAGGATATTTCCTTGACATGTACCAGTCAGGAAAAATGGCAAGACTGCAGAAAAATCTACATGACTGCAGGAAATCTACATGAAAAAGTAGAAATCCCCCTGATTCGGTACCAAGGGAGGTACTCAAGCCCCTGTATATAATAGGGCTATGATGTTGGTTGTGACCAAATTTCCTCACTTGGTCATTATTTTTGTTTGGAATTTGGCACATTCCAGAGCACTGCATAAACTATTAAGGGCTCCCCCAGTGTCACCAGTCATTTTCAAGAGGAAGGTTCTGTGAGGCCTAATTGAGGAGTGATATAACCACATTAGTGAGAGGGGACTGTTCCACAAGGACCCTGTTTTTTCTAGCGAAGGGAAATCCAGGCCATTATGTTCAAATGAATATTAAATACCTCTCAAATGAAAATAAATGCAGATTCTAAACAGACCCTAATCTCTAGGGTGCAACCTTTGAGCTGATGGTTGGCTCATGAACTCACTCTACCCATTAACAGACTTGTTTAGAAAAAGTGAAATGTCCCTGGGGCTGTGTGAGACTAGTAAAACATGGCTTGTTTCCAAGAGCTTGAAGGCTGCTATGATGAAGAGACAGCTCTCAAAGGATAACCATGGCAGACAGCATTTGCTACTCAGAAGATCCATGACTTCCCGTGCATTCTCAAGGAGACCCTCAGCCCAAACCAGGATAAGAAGGTGGGGCGTATATGTGAGCTAGCTGGGGAGCACACGTCGTACCTGGTTAAGCCACTGCCATAGCCATCTCACGTCTGCTCCCCTTCCCTTGCTTTCCAGGGGCTCCTGAGTCATAAGATCATCATCTTTATTCCTGGAAGTACTGCAGTTCCATATTACTTATTTAGCACTATGTTGAGCATGATACTGAATGGCAGGGGCATAGCAATACAAGAACCACCTCACACTGAAGAGCTTACTGTGTTCTCTTACTCCTCAATTCATGGCCTGGACTAAATTTGTTGTACCTCCACCCCTAGCAGAACCTGAAATACAGTATAAGCTTTTCCAGTGTGTCTTGACTTAAAATGAATTATTTTTTTAACATATAATGTAAATCCATTTTACAAATGTCTAAGGAGTTCAGAGCTTGTAACCTGAGTATGGTCACAAAATGGTTGGGGAAATTTTCCAGGAGTTAGGTCAGATAATGGACTGAAGTTCTGAAGAGAGCTATATTATAAACCAAATATACACTGTTAGGACCCAAGAGGAACCCATTTTCTGTTCCAGCACTTTTCCAAGATTCTTAGGACAGACTATGCCATCTAAGAGGAAAAGGTTAATTCAGAAGTGTGAAAATAAACACACAAATCAAAGAGCTATGGCCCAGTGTGGTGGTACACTCCTGCAATCTTAGCACTTGGGAGGCTGAGGCAGGAGGACTGCTATGAAAGCCCACTTGGGCCACACAGCCAGACCCTAACACACAAAAAAGAGCTGTGACCCAAACCTGACCTTTGCTGTCACTAACATCACATGCCAATGAGATGAGAGATCAGGAAGGGCAGCACTGGTTCAGAAGTTGGCTGCAGAGACTGCCTGTTGCATGAAGAATTTTAACACCTCTGAGCCTTCAGATGGGAAGTAGATCTTGCATTATGTGTAAACTCTGATGAGCCACTGCCAGTATGCCATGTTTCCAGAGAAGCTGAAGCTATGTCTAGGCTCAGAAGGGCATGCACTACATATTTAACATCACTGTAGATACATGTGTTGCCTACTGGGCAGCTCAAGGGCAGAAATGTTACCAGCATTATGAAGTATTACAAGATAACTGTGAAGGAAGGCCCCTCAATGAGTTGAATTCTGGCCAGTGGATTAGCTCCTTGATAGAATGCTTGTCCTTAAAGTTTCTAACACAGTGATGTTAACATTGGGCAAGTTTCCAGCAGAGTTCAACAGGGGCTTGTCCTCATCCAAAGTCAAAACTTTTATCCATGACTTGGAGAACAGAACAATATACTCATCAACATACAGAACAGGAAGACACAGTTTAATTTTTTAAAACTTCAAGATTCCTTAGCTACTGTCTGTGGGGCACTGAGAGAAACCCCGAATACATCGAGAACTTGGGACCCTGATAGCATCCCTTAAAGAGGCCCAGCTTCCTCAGGAAGGGCAGCCCCCAGCCCCGTAGGCACAGTGAGATCTATGTGGGAGGGGGAGAGATGACTCGCAAGGCCTGCTGCTCTTCACTGGCTGGATGGCAGTCCCCAGGGAGGCCACCTTGGGGCCATGCAGAAGCTCTGCTTCCCAGCCTCCAGCAGGACACTATTCTCTACAAGCAGGTGCTGCCGTGGAGTGGGGTGAGGTAAAGCATTAAAAGTTTGCAGAGGAGGAGGAGGATCAGATGGATGGAGAGAAATGCTAGGGAAGATGAGCTACCAAATGAACGTCCCTGCCACACAGCACTGCCAGTGAATCACAGGTTGTGTTGGAGGATGATTTCCAGGATTCTCGAGGTGCCCTATACAGGAAGAAGTCCAGTAGTGGAAGAAGCTCAAAATGGACAGAAAGTCCTGCTTCATACTTTAGTCTCAGACACTACGTTACCCTGCCAATTGCTATCCACACTATACTGGGAAAGAGGGACCTGTATGTACCAAATGTCCCCCAGTGATACCTATGTCCCCAAAGCATGCTGAGGAAGTGGCACAGTTTCAAAACAAAGGCAGCCATTTGTTTTCTTTTGTGTTAGGGTCCATACCTGCTAGTGCGCTGACCAGGAAGTAGGCTGTTGCAAAGAGTTTCTGGTTGCTGACCTCATCCTCAGGGCTGGGACATTCCCCTTGTATGCTGCATCCCACCAGCTGCAGGAAGGCTGTGAGGTCCTGCTGTTGAGGGGCCTTCAGTGCCCTCATTGCCAGCGCTGTCTGTGGGGACCAGACGCTGCCAGCCATGTCATCACACTGAAGGCAGAGGGACAAGGATAGGGTGCTGTGGTACAGCAGAGGCCCATGAGATGCACCCAACGTGGGCCTTCTGCCCCCAAACACACCCCTCAGCCCGCATCTCCTCCCAACTAAAGCAACATGCTGGGCCCTTTCTGAGATGTCACTGATCCACAGGTTTAAATTTCTCCAAAAGGAGGACCAGGAAGACAGCTCAGTGGCAGAAGCACCTGCCTAGCAAGCATGAAATCCTCAGTTTGATCCCTGATACCACAAAAAAAAAAAAAAAATCTCCAAAGGGAAACAGAATGCTTCTCCTCACCCAAGTATTACCTTTTTGCAAAGAGGGAAGGAGGAATTTGGGGACTATTGGGGAGACTCCAACAAGAACAGTCTAAGTCACACAAGGGATGAGACATATGAACATGCACAGAACTGATAAAGGGCACGTAGAAGCATCATCCTCTCATGGTCCTGAAGCTCTAAAAATGTAGCCCTCCTAACTCAGCACAATCCACCAGCCCAAAGCAGCCTCACACATCCTCCAAGGGCCAGCTGTGGGCCGGGGGCCTTGGCAGGCAAGCCAGTTCTGACCACTCAGGCAGCTCCCCATCTGTAGCCCCCATGTCTGGATCTATTGGTATGACAGCCTGTCCCCTACCATGCAGGCAGTGTGCTCCTCCAGCACCTGACAGGGGCAGCTCTTGCTCTTGTCACAGAAGGCCAGCCTGACATATTCCTTTTGGGTGCTATCTTATGAAATAAAAAGCAAGAGCCTTTTTGAAATATGTGTGCACTCTCTGGGGCTAAGCTCAGCATCCTGCAGAATGCAAAAGTGCCCTGAGTTGTTGCACAGCTTCAGGTTCCACCTGTGGTACCTAAGCTCTTTCAGTGCAATCTAATTTAAAGAGGGAATAATAATGTGAATGCTTTCTTGGAAACCATAAAGTAGTTAATTATTTCAACTCTCCTATAGAAAGAGAAAAAAAAAATCTAGAAAAAAAAGATTCCTAAAACCTTAGCTTTGGCTAGAGAAATAGCTCTGCAGTCTAAGCAGCTGCCTGGTAAGGACCCCCGGGTCCCAAATACTGCATGCCATCCTGGCCCCAGAACCCCGGGCACACTGTGCTGGCCACCAAAACAGCGTGGTGGCACACACCTGTAATCCCAGAGCTGAGGAGACTGAGCCAGGAAAATCACTGAGTCCAAGCTGCATAGCAAGACCTTATCTGTACCAAATAAAAAGATTTTTAAAAATTGTTTTAAAGGGGCTGGAGAGATGGCTCAGTGGTCTAAAGCACCTACTT